ATTCCAAACGTGTGGTGTGGTGCAAATTTTGTTGAAGCTCACATAAGATGATATTGTCACTTTTCGTGGCAGGCGCAGTACTTTGTGCGGGGTTTGAGGCGTGGAAGTCGATTCTCGTGGCAGGCGCAGGGAATCGTGAGGTTGCGAGGTGTGACGGAGGTGACATTTCGCGGCAGGCGCAGGACTTTGTGCGCGTTAGACGTGTGGACGCGGAAAAATTCGTGGCAGGCGCAGGGAATTGAGGGTGTGAGTTGTGGTAGAGGTGAATGTCGCTGTGACATTGGGATTGGCGTGTGAGCGGGTGTTGTTTGGAGGGGCTGGAATCGCGAAACTGCTTGGCAGGGCTGCGTGATGGGTGTGCTCCGATGGGTGTTTCCGCTTGACTTTGGGAGGAAGTCTCGTACGAAACGCTCGTTTTGCAGACTTTGACATGTGAGTTTTTGAGGAAGTCTCGTACGAAACGCTCGTTTTGGAGCCATGACGTGTGACTTTTGGGGGAAGTCTCGTACGAAACGCTCGTTTTGGAGACTTGACGTGTGACTTTTGGAGGAAGTCTCGTACGAAACGCTCGTTTTGGAGACTTGACGTGTGACTTTTGGAGGAAGTCTCGGACGAAACGCTCGGTTTGGAGACTTGACGCGTGACTTTTGCAGGAAGTCTCGTACGAAACGCTCGTCTTGACGCATGACTTTTGGAGGAAGTCTTGTACGAAACGCAGAGTGTCAAGCAAAGAGCGTCAAGAAAGCAAAGAGTGTCAAGAAAGAGTGTCGCGCCAGAGTGTCCAGCAAGAATGTCTAGCAAAGAGTGTCCAGCAAGAGTGTCCAGCAAACGCCTCAAGCAAGATGAGTGTCAAGATAGAGTGTCTAGCAAAGAGTGTCAAGAAAGAGTGTCTAGCAAAGAGTGCCAAGAAAGAGTGTCAAGCAAGAGTGTCTAGCAAGAATGTCTAGCAAAGAGTGTCCGGCAAGAGTGTCAAGCAAGAGTGTCTAGCAAGAATGTCTAGCAAAGAGTGTCCAGCAAGAGTGCCCAGCAAACGTGTCAAGCAAGAGTGT